CAGTATTTTGATGACAATAACTGGTGAGTACGAGTCTCCCCCGGATGACCCGAGGTTGGAGAGGAATGGGCCCAGGTAATAAGACGATCTCGAAACGGAGTAGGCACGAACCTTTTATCACTGGGGCATGAGGTGGGCGGAGCATTGCGGTTATTGTACTCATTGATCTCAGAATCTATTTCCCAACGGATAGGAGCGAGTATTATTTTGGGTTCTAAAACTGATTCTGGTGCACCAGATTCTGTAACCTCACTATCATAGATACGAGATAAAGCATCTGCTTTCGTATTGCGCGCGCCCGGACTATAAGTGATTGTGAACTGGAACCTAGAGAAAAACAGTGACCACCGCACCTGATGTGAGTTTAAGCATTTGACAGAGCGCAGGTACTCAAGGTTCTTATGGTCAGTTAGTACCAGGAACAGATGTTGAGCACCCTCTAGCCAGTGCCGCCATTCTTCAAAGGCCAATTTCATGGCCAATAATTCCCGGTCTCCAATACTGTAATTTCGTTCATCAGGTGACATCTTGTGGGAGAAAAATGCAACAGGGAGCAATTTAGCAGGTTCACCAAAATGTTGAGACAAGACAGCCCCAACCCCCACATTGGAAGCATCAACTTCAACAACAAATGGTTTAGAAGGATCAGGGTGTTTCAACAAAGGAGCTGAGCTGAAAGCGTCCTTCAGTTTATGAAAGGTGTTCTCTGCTTGGGTACTCCACCTCAGTCTCTTGGCACCCCCCTTCAACAGAGCAGTGAGCAGAGCTGCAACAGAGCTGTAGTTACGGATGAACCCGCGATAAAAGTTAGCGAACCCAATAAATCTTTGCAGTTCTTTCACAGTGGTAGGCACAGGCCAGTTAACCACCACAGCCACCTTCTTGTTGTCCATGAAGACACCCTCGGCGCTTATGACATAACTTAGGAAGGAAGTTTCTGACAGATGAAATTCACATTTTTCACCTTTAACACGATCACGAATTTCCCCAACATGTCTGAGTACATCATTAATAAAAGATTGGAACACAGAGGGGGGTGTTTCGGAGGCCGAACGGCATAACAAGGTACTCATAGTGCCCCCTAGTGGTGAGAAAAGCCGTCTTCCACTCATCACCCTTTTTAATCCTAACCAGATTGTAGGCACTGCATAAATCCAGTTTGGTAAAAATCTTGGCCCCCCGCAACTGCTCAAGGGCGACAGGTACTAAAGGAAGTGGATAAGGATAGGCTTTAGTGATGTTATTCAACCCTCTATAGTCAATACAAGGGCAAAGCCCTCCATCCTTCTTTTGCACGAAGAAAAATCCCACAGCTGCTGGGGATGTGGAGGGATGAATGAACACTTGGTCCATGGCTTCTTGCACATACTCCTCCATGGCTGCTTCTTCAGCTTGAGTAAGAGGATAAACACGAGACTTGGGGGGTAATTGATTATCAATGAGTTCAATGACACAGTCATAGTCTCTATGAGGTGGCAATTTCGTGGCATTTACTTTGTTAAAAACCTCGGCGAGATCAGCATATTCAGGTGGAATGTTAACAGGACTATCCACAGAAGTTGAATTTGCACTAATGGTGGGGATTTGCAAACAGTTCTCAAAACAACAGGAGGACCAAGACAAGATTTCTCTACAGGACCAGGAGATATTGGGATTGTGTGTTTTCAACCAGGAGAGACTTAAAATCACAGCATAGTCAGTAGTATCGAGCACAAAAAAACAAATGTCCTCAGCACAGAGAGCACTAACGTTCATTTTAACAGGTCGTGTTTTGTGAGTCACACTCCCTGGTCCAATAGGTCCACCATCCACAGCTGAAAGGCCTAACAGTGTTGTCAGTGGTTCCATCTCTATTCCCAGCTGGTTCATCAGATCTGCTTTGATGAAACTGCCTTGGGCACCTGAGTCGATTAAGGCTGAAACGACAATAGAAGAATCACAACAGAACAAGGTAACAGGAATCAGAAAGGCTGTACTAATCATGGTAGGTTTATGACCACTCACCACATTTCCTGGGAGTGGTGCCTGTGGTCTGTTTGGATAGAGGCGACCATCACGTAGCACATGACCTGCTTCTCCCCAGTATAAGCACAGACCCCCATAAAGTCTGCGTAAGCGTTCCTCCTTGGACAGACGGGAAGTGTCCACCTGCATCAGCTCAGCAACGGGGACATCAGGTTTCACAGGTTTGGGTGATGGGCCAGTCCGTTGAGTGGTATGAAGTGTGGCGAGACAATGTACTTTGGGTTTCGAACTCTGCTTTAACTGATCCAAACGAATAGCAAGAGCAATGGGATCATCCAATGACAGTCCATCATCCTTACAGGCCAGTTCAGTCCAAATCTCAGAATTAAGTCCATTTCGGAATGTCACAATCAGCGCCGGCTCATTCCAGCCACTTCCGGCTGCTAATGTTCTAAATTCTAAAGAACAATCCGCTACAGATTGTGCACCCTGGTGAATGTGTGATAATAGTTCACCTTGAGAACCAGTGTGTGTTGCGCTGGTGTGAGTGGATCAGACACAGCAGTGCTGCTGGAGTTTTTAAACACCTTAGTGTCGCCGCTGGACTGAGAACCAAAAATATCCAGCCAACAGCGTCCTGTGGGCAGCATCCTGTGACCACTGATGAAGGACTAGAGGATGACCAGCACAAACTGTGCAGCAGCAGATGAGCTATCGTCTCCGACTTTACATCTACAAGGTGGACTGACAAGGTAGGAGTGTCTAATAGAGTGGACAGTGAGTGGACACAGATGAACTACAGTCTGTAATTGTAGAACTACAGAGTGAAAGTATATGGTCAGTGGAGCTGATAAAGTGGACAGTGAGTGTAGAAACAAGGAGGTGGTCATTATGAAGTAGTCAGTGAGTATATAATACACACATATAATACACACACATTCACACACAATACACATAATACACACACGTATAACACATGTATAATATACATAGAACTTGCATGATTAAATGGTTCTCTGCATGGTAAAATGGTTCTTCAGATTGATAAAGAATGTGATGTAGATGCTTCTATATGGAACCTTTTTGAAAGTGGTTCTATATGGCACCAAAACGGGTTCTGCTATTGTCATGATGTCAAGCTTGTAACAGTACCAGAACCCTTTCCACCCCATATAGAACCATATACAACACAGTCCGCATCAATCTGAAGAACATTTCACCATGCAGAGAACAATTTAAGCTTGCAAAGGGCTCTTTGAGTGTTAATGGTTATTTACTAAAGAACCCTTGAAGAACTTTTTTAAGTGTGTACACTGTGCACACAAGTAGATACAGTGAATGTACATTTGAAAACAGTGACCTGTATTGAATTATTTGTTGATATGTTTATTTATGTCTTGCTTTTTTAGTGTTAGTTGTTGTTAGAGGCCAAAAAGCATGCTGTGTTTTGAGACCGTCCAACATGGAGGATCAGAAAACAGCACTGATTGTGTGAGCATTGAGCACTGATTGACAGCATTGACACTCTGAACAAATATTCAAGTATATATTTGAAATATACACAAATAGTTCAACACATTTTGTGTTAAAAGTACCACAAAACGTGTTGTCTCCAACTGAACACACTGATGTGCCTAGTTAGAGACAGAATGTTTTGTTTTTTAACACATCTGTTTTAAGAGTTCACCCTCAAAGACCAGAAATGTTCTAGAGGGAGAACTTCAACATCTGTTGCCCAACACTTTTCCCTGAAAAGACCTTTCTCCCTGTTCTTTATTGCCAACCTGTCAAAACAAAACTGAAACTGCACTCCTTTTGTGATTTTGTTCTCCTTTCGTGGTATTCTTAAGAGCTTCCGTATTGAATGGTTTCTGAAAAAGGTGAAACAAATACAAAGGATAGATTAAAACATTTCCTTAGGTTACCATTACCCAAGAAGATATTCACTAATATTTCAAATCACTAATGGTATTTACTAATTTCTAAAACAGCCTTTCAGTAGCCATTCATTTTCAGGAGATATTTGTGAGATTAGATATAAGATAATTCACTTGTATAAGGAAAGAGAAAGTTAAAGAGAATTAAGCGAATTTCCTCTACAGAGAAGACGAGACTCATAACAACCACCTAGGAGGCCTGGTCGACCCCAAAACTGCCCCCATCAGATAAACAGCACTTAAAGCTTTCATCTCTGAGAGAGAGGAGAAAATCAAGCTGCTTCAGATCTGAAAACATCCACAGGTGTTTCTGTCCATCTTTCCACTGTGAGAAGACGACTCAGCGCTGTGGGTCTGAAAGGATGTGTAGCTGTCAAGAAGAACCTCACTGAGAAAAGGAGACGGACACATCAAACAAAGAAGCTGAACAATGGACTGACCACCCCAGAGTCCAGACCTCAACACCACTGAATGTGTTTGATTACTTCACAAAATCATCAACCAGCTTCTGAGACTGAACTTTGGTGGTGTGTCTGCAGATTCTTTGAGGAACTGAAAGTGAGTCTCCTGAAATGAATGGAAGCTGGAATAAAGGGGAAGAGTGACTCACTGACTCACACAGCTGAGAGTAGATTTAGCTGCTAAGGCTCTTTAATCGAAACACCAGCAGAAAGGCACATAAGCCATAAGCTTCAACCTCACAGTGACCTAGGGTCACCAGACATCCCCATTTTTGGGGGCCTGTCCTCTGCTGGAGCTGTCCCTCTTTTTGACAGAGAATTAAAAACATACCACGCCTCTAAAGCCCTTTTGACAACCCTGGGCAAGCAGCACTCGCCACAATAGGTTCCTACTTTTTTCTGATACTGAAAAAAGAGTAACTTGTCCTTAATGGTCATTCTGACTGGAAACTGGGTAAATAAAGGGGTCTGTGACTTTTACACAGCACTGTGTTTCTGATATTGGAAAACAACCTAAGAGTTTTACTCTCATGGACTCGAGTTGCACACTCGTTTCAGTTTCTGTGATTGGTGGGCAGTGTGTCTTGTTTTTTTTCACTCTGTGAAAATGTCTGGCCTCGCCCCCAACACTGACTCTCTGTCTCACGTTCATTCCAACTTATTTGGTCTGACCTCATGGTCACAGCAGCTCTTGGAAGACAAATAAGGAGGAGATAAGCAGGAGAACATCAGAGGAAGCTTTCTGTGTGATTATTGGGTCTGGACACTTTCTGGATTCCCTCTTTGGCCCACTTTCGTTCTTCCCATCCACTGCAGATCGTCTCCTGTCAAGATGTGCACTGTAAAGTGTTCACGTTTCATCGCCGGATCTCTGTATCCTCTGGCCTTCATCTCCATCGTCTGTAATATTCTTCTGTTCTTCCCTGACTGGTCAGTTCAGTATGTGAAGGATGACCGTCTCACCCCAGAAGTGAAGTACATGGGGGGTGTGGTTGGAGGGGGAGTGATGGTGAGTTTTTTTTAAATAATTCTTATATAATTAACAGCTAAAAATAGGCAGAAAAGCTGTAATGAATTCTTTTCTCTTACAAAGTGTCATTTCATTTTGCAGCACGATGAAGTTTTATCCAACTGTTATCTAACGAAAGTAGTTAGAATCACTTTCTGATACAAATTCTTGCTTTAGCAAAAGTAGATCAGCCCAGTCATACATTTACAGCTTAATTTTTGGTAAGAATTTTTTTTTTTACTTTTATCAACATAAGTATGTGTTTTAGCACTGTGTTTAATCGGGAAACCTTTCCTTAAACTAAAGTTTAAAATGTTGGTTGTAGAAATATATCAGAATTTTATCTCTCAGTTGCATAAGTTTACTACAATACCCAGCAATGCATTACACAAATACATTACACACTGTAACTTGGTATTAAGTGAAAGTTTGTGTCAGAGAAAAGAGGTCAGACTGAGCTGAGGGAGCTAGCTTACTAACATGCTCGCTTTTAGCTTCCTCCTCATCAGTGTTTCTGTGCTGAAAATGGCAACGATGAAGACAGTTCCTAGTAGCAGTGTCGGCTGTCTGCCTTCTGTCTGCATCCACCCCAAAACCCAAATAATTACACAGCACTTCAGAGATTGTACCTCAGTTAATATCTAGAACCTGTTTGGCATTAATCGTTTTGAATTTTTAATTTGTTTTTATTTACGTTTATTTTTTTTTCAGTTTAGTTTTAGTTTGTTTTTAAGGGTGCGTTAATAATCTTTGTTTTGTTTTTATTTTCTGAACAATAGTTTTAGTTTACTTTTTATTTAGTTTAGTTTTAGTATTACGATGAAGCATCTGATAAGAGTAAAACACACAGACTGGGCTCAGCTCGGCTCCAGCCTTCCTTAAAGACCAACCACAGAAACGCACTTCTAAACTAAAACTGAAGTTTTGTTCTCAGAAGTTCTTTCATTTTTATTCAGTTTTGCATTGAATGTTACAGTTTCGATTTATTTTTCGTGTTTTTGAAAACTGCTGTTTTTATTACAGGTAACAAGCACATTTTTTCTCTGTTAGATTTAATTTAACAATAGTTTCAGTGAACTATAATAACCCTGCTCAGAACCTTTATATTACCCAAAATAATTATCTAGTTGGAGTTACAATCTAGAACTTAGGAAAGCGTTACTGTTAAATCTAGCTGAAGTTTTAGGAAACAGCAGTTTTTCTAAAACTATTTGGTTTTAGTTTTTTTATTTGCTTCATCAGATTAAGAATAATGAATAAAGTGACAGCAGGCAAACTGTGTCTTTTCTCTCTTAGCACAAACAATGTTAGCTGTGTTAGTGCCAAAAATAAAAATCTTTTCCCAGATGTTCAGCCTCTGTGGTCTAAGGTCATTTCCTCGATTTGTTCATATCATCTTAAACTCTCCTTTAAAGGCTCTTCATACACCGATCAGGCATAACATTATGACCTCCTTGTTTCTACGCTCATTGTCCATTTTATCAGCTCCATTTACTATATATCCCCATGGACCCTCACAGAGCAGATACTATTTGAGTGGTGGGTCATTCTCAGCACTGCAGTGACACTGACGTGGTGGTGGTGTGTTAGTGTGTGTTGTGGTGGTGTGAGTGGATCAGACACAGCAGTGTCCACTCACTGTCCATTCTATTAGACACTCCTACCGTGTCAGTCCACCTTGTAGATGTAAAGTCAGAGACGATAGCTCATCTGCTGCTGCACAGTTTGTGTTGGTCGTCCTCTAGTCCTTCATCAGTGGTCACAGGACGCTGCCCACAGGACACTGTTGGCTGGATATTTTTGGTTGGAGGGCTATTCTCAGTCCAGCAGCGACACTGAGGTGTTTAAAAACTCCAGCAGCACTGCTGTGTCTGATCCACTCAGACCAGTGCAACACACACTAACACACCACCACCACGTCAGTGTTACTGCAGTGCTGAGAATGACCCACCACCCAAATAGTACCTGCTCTGTGTGGGTCCATGGGGGCCCTGACCACTGAAGAACAGGGTAAAAGGGGGCTAACAAAGTATCAGAGAAACAGATGGACTACAGTCTGTAACTGTAGAACTACAAAGTGCACCTATATAGTAAGTGGAGCTGATAAAATGGACAATGAGTGTAGAAACAAGTAGGTGGTCCGAATGTTATGCCTGATTGGTGTATAACATGCTGCGTCATCTTTTTCACTACTTTCCAAACCCGCTGCAGCAGCTTCAACAGCTGTAAACTCTTTGCACGCCATTTCACATGTGTCTCCAATGTGGACTGAATGAAGAATGAGGGGTTGGAAAGGGCGACTCTACAGATTCAGGAAGTGTTTGAACTGGATTTCTGTGCTGGATCGTCACAAAGATGCAGACACAGATAAAGAAACAGAGAATTTGACACGCAAGCTTTTACTATCAGTCTTGGTAAATTATAATAATCACCTCTCAATGTTCTGTGCTTTGAAAGGGAAATGGTGCATATGCAAATGAGGCAAAAAACAGTGACCACCCCCTCTGATATTATTATTGCCAATAAAGGCTGCTGTGCCTGCTTAGTAGATCTCAACGGTCACTTTTTAATGCCAAGATACAGTTTGCGGAGGCTCAAAACATCACCTGCCCCTTTAAACTCCACTGAGCTGGCAGCAGATCCATTCCTCTCTCCTACAAGCTGCCAATAACTGTTTACACAGTTTCCATGGAATGACTGAATAATAACTCTTAAAATAGTTATGTAAGTATGTGAAGGAAGGAAGGGTGTGTATTGAAGTACTTTCAACTTTAATAAACATTCTGGGGGAAAAAGAATGTCCTGGATCCATGGAACTTTATAAAATTTGATCATATTTTTCACAGTTTTTAATCTCTCTTGCTTTTTTCTCAGGTTTTAGTTCTGGCCCTCTTTATTCATCTGACTTTAAAGCAGGGATGCTGTGCTAACCGCTGTGGGGTGAGTGCCAATTGAACTTCATGCTCACTACTTAGTGCACACTACAGAAGACAGTTGCCCTAAATCCCTTTTGTCTGTATGTAATCAGTTTGGACAATGCTCTGCCTCACATGCTCAGCCAACACATGATATCGGAACATAGGACCACACAATAGACAGAGAGAGAAACAAACGTGGATTGTTCAGATATGCTTATATACTAATGTGTTTTCATGGAGACAGAGACAAAAACTATGTGAATAATTGTTTCCCAACACATTTGAAGGTGACAGTGTATGAAATGCAAATAAAACAGAAAGCAGTGATTTATAAACCCAGTTTTGGCCTGTTTTTAAATCAAAGCAGCAGATAAGATATTTAATTTTTTATCTACTTCTTTGTTCTTTGTAAATATGTGCTCATTATGACTACAGATGCAATGATACCACTTTCTTTTCTAGCAACGTGAGAGTTTGCGTGAGTTCAGTGAGCTCCATTTGGTTTAGCAGCAGCTTAAAAGTTGAGTAGTGTGCGATCCCTAATCGTTTAGGGCATGATCCCCAAAATTGCCCCAAAAATCCGCAGAAATCAGTGTGATAGTGTGAGAAACCCAGTCTGTTATAAACCGTTAAGACTTTAAAAGTTATGTAGTGAACCCAAGGCTTAAGACTAGGAACATCTGTCTACGTTGGATTCATGACGTGTTCTTAAAGCGCAGAACTGTTCTCACCTTTGTGCTCTTGAGTGTGTGTAGATTCTGTTCTTACCTAAGAACAAACCCCAAATAAGAAAACAGTGGCAAATGTCAGAATCTTCGTAAAGCCGTTGTCAATAAACACCATCGGTCGCTGGATCCTCAAATGCAGGTTAAGACTTTACTCTGCACAGTGAAAGTCACATATCAACAACATTCAGAAACACTGCCGACTTTTCTGGGTCCGAGCTCATCCGAAATGGACTGATGCTCAGTGGAAACGTGTATTGTGGTCTGCCGAGTAAACCTTTCAGATAGTTCATGGAAATATCTGTTCTCTGGGCCAAAGAAGAAAAGTACCATCCAGATTGTTACCAGCATAAAGTTCAAAATCCAGCGTCTGTCATGGTGTGTGTGTGTAGGGGGGGCGGGTTAGTGGGTAACCTGCACATCTGTGAAAGCGCCATTAACACTGAACACATTTTGGAGTAACATGTGCTGGACCTTGTGCAGCTCTTTCCGGACCAGAAATTGACCTTGAGCCCCTTCTGAACAAGCTTGGCCTCCTGCCCGTCTCCTTCCACGAGCGCTCTTTTTTAATAGAGGAAGGTTGTTATTGGTAATACTTGGCTTGTTGTTAGGGAAGCACCTGATGTTCCTGTAGGCACAATCATGTTCTCATAGAACTGATAAGATCTATTACACAGGAGGTGAGATCAAGGTCTGTTCCGTTTTCCCCCAAAAGTTTTCAGGTCGTCAGGTGGATGAGGTGATGGTCTGATATTCCCAGTGGAGAAAATACTACAAAATTCTACTTTTCTGTTTTCAAAGTGCTGCTTTTTGTGTTGTAGATGTTCCTGTCCATCGCCTTTGCAGCACTTGGTGCTGCTGGCGCCCTCTACAGTTTTGTAGTGGCCATGTTAGGGCTGGTAAACGGACCATACTGCAGATATTCACTTATTTTCTGGGGAAGACCTTTTAAGGGCAGGTAAGAAAAGCAAAGTGTGTCCTTAGACAGTGAGACAGTCAACACACATGCCTTTGCTACTGTTGATGAAAATACAGGTATAAATACCATTCATTTCAGAATTTAATACCTCTTTTCACTCTCACTCTTTTCTTTTAGTTCTGAGAGTTATCTGACTCAACTAGACAAGTGGAGTACATGCACAGAGCCGAAAAACGTGGTGGAGCTCAACGTGGGTTTGTTCGGCACGTTGGTGGTGGTCAGCAGCCTGGAGCTCGTCCTGTGTTTATGCCAGATGATTAATGGCCTTGTTGGCTGCATCTGTGGAGCCAACAAATAAAGGCAGACATCAGAAAATGCATTAAAAACATGTCAATGTCCTCATATACCGCCAAAAAACCGGCATCACATACGTTCTGCTTTAATAATAATAGAAGAGGTTTCCATCTAGAACTTTATATCTATCAAATTGTATTCTATTTTTATATTTAACAAACATCAAATAAACAAACGTTGCTCAGCGCTGCCCTCTAAAGGCGTCATTAACAACCATCAAATACACAAACGTCACACACCACCGCCCTTAAAGTCATCAACGAACATCAAATAAACAAACGTCACTCACCACCGCCCTCTAAAGGCGTCATTAACAAACATCAGATAAACAGACGTCACTCACCACCGCCCTCTAAAGGCGTCATTAACAAACATCAAATAAACAAACGTCGCTCAGCGCCGCCCTCTAAAGGCGTCATTAACAAACATCAAATAAACACACGTCGCTCAGCGCCGCCCTCTAAAGGCGTCATTAACAAACATCAAATAAACACACGTCGCTCAGCGCCGCCCTCTAAAGGCGTCATTAACGACCATCAAATAAACAAACGTCGCTCAGCGCCGCCCTCTAAAGGCGTCATTAACACCCATCAAATAAACAAACGTCGCTCAGCGCCGCCCTCTAAAGGCGTCATTAACACCCATCAAATAAACAAACGTCGCTCAGCGCCGCCCTCTAAAGGCGTCATTAACACCCATCAAATAAACAAACGTCGCTCAGCGCCGCCCTCTAAAGGCGTCTTTAACGACCATCAAATAAACAAACGTCGCTCAGCGCCGCCCTCTAAAGGCGTCATTAACAACCATCAAATACATAAACGTCACACACCACCGCCCTTAAAGTCATCAACGAACATCAAATAAACAAACGTCACACACCACCGCCCTTAAAGTCATCAACGAACATCAAATAAACAAACGTCACTCACCACCGCCCTCTAAAGGCGTCATCAACGAACATCAAATAAACAAACGTCACTCACCACCGCCCTCTAAAGGCGTCATTAACGAACATCAAATAAACAAACGTCGCTCAGTGCCGCCCTCTAAAGGCGTCATTAACAACCATCAAATAAACAAACGTCGCTCAGTGCCGCCCTCTAAAGGCGTCATTAACAACCATCAAATACATAAACGTCACACACCACCGCCCTTAAAGTCATCAACGAACATCAAATAAACAAACGTCACACACCACCGCCCTTAAAGTCATCAACGAACATCAAATAAACAAACGTCACTCACCACCGCCCTCTAAAGGCGTCATCAACGAACATCAAATAAACAAACGTCACTCACCACCGCCCTCTAAAGGCGTCATTAACGAACATCAAATAAACAAACGTCGCTCAGCGCCGCCCTCTAAAGGCGTCATTAACAACCATCAAATACATAAACGTCACACACCACCGCCCTTAAAGTCATCAACGAACATCAAATAAACAAACGTCACACACCACCGCCCTTAAAGTCATCAACGAACATCAAATAAACAAACGTCACTCACCACCGCCCTCTAAAGGCGTCATCAACGAACATCAAATAAACAAACGTCGCTCAGCGCCGCCCTCTAAAGGCGTCATTAACGAACATCAAATAAACAAACGTCGCTCAGTGCCGCCCTCTAAAGGCGTCTTTAACGAACATCAAATAAACAAACGTCGCTCAGCGCCGCCCTCTAAAGGCGTCATTAACGACCATCAAATAAACAAACGTCGCTCAGCGCCGCCCTCTAAAGGCGTCATTAACGACCATCAAATAAACAAACGTCGCTCAGCGCCGCCCTCTAAAGGCGTCATTAACGAACATCAAATAAACAAACGTCGCTCAGCGCCGCCCTCTAAAGGCGTCATTAACGAACATCAAATAAACAAACGCCGCTCAGCGCCGCCCTCTAAAGGCGTCATCAACGAACAACAAATAAACAAACGTCGCTCAGCGCCGCCCTCTAAAGGCGTCATTAACAAACATCAAATAAACAAATGCCACGCGCGGCCGCCCTCTAAAGGCGTCATTAACGAACATCAAATAAACATTACAATAATGGTATTCTTTGTTTTCCTGATGGGTTGATATTATAGTGTAAAGGGCTCTAATGGTTTATCAGTTGTTCTGATTCCAGATGCACTTGATCATTTCCTAATGGGATCTAAAGGTGTCCTACAGGAAACTAGTGGTTTCTAGTGGCCATTAGCTTTTAATCCTAATGATTCTAATGGTAATTCTTGAGCAGAAAATGCCCAATCAGCAAAACATGGCAGCAAAATTCAACTTCAGGACAGAATGTGTCAGTCAGTGAGATTTGCTCACGGATTGTGTGATAAACAGAGGGAAGAAAGAGAGAAGAGGGTGACGGACAGAGATTAAATCAGTTCACTGTGTAAAAGTCCTCCCTCTGTTTCAGCCTCTATAAACCTGCAGCGCCCTCTGGTGGGCATTTACTGATTCTGATATCAGTCCAATACTTTCTAATACTTTCCAAATAAAAACTGCAGCTTCATAATTAGTCTGCATTACTTTTATGATTTAAGATTATGAGTGTTTTTGCTTTTTATTTGTCATGTTCTGTTGTAGTGATAATGCAACATTATTTACCTGTTAAATTTACACTCTCTTGTTCTGAATGCTGTTTTTTTTTTCTCCAAAAGATTTAACTGTACAATGTTACCAAAAATAATGTTAAATCTGTACAGTACAGTTCTGTGTGTGTGAGCTCATTTTGTGTCTGGTTTATATGACTGTTTCGGTTCTCTATACTCCTGCTGTCAGCGCAGAAGCTACAGAGAAAATGTGAATGTTCATGGATATTTAGGTAAGTACAGCAGCCTGAATAAAAGTTGAGAGTGCTTTATAGTTCAGTTTGGCTGCTGCATTTTGAAGATATTCGTGTCTCTGTTAGGGTTGGCGAAGCTGTTTGTCTGTTTTTGTTTTGTTTTGGTGAAGACAGGTCTGTGTATGTTGGTTAGTTTGAGGTTTTGTTTGTTTTTTAGTGCTAGCTGAGGACTTACAGACGCAAAGCGCGATGGTGCGTGTTGTTTTTGTGGCGCCACTGTTTCGCCACTAGATGGCGACAAATACAAAGTTAGAAACCCCTCAGCGCTGAAACTCAGCAGGTTTTTCTGAAAAATTCAGGCCCAAAACAAAACAACAGTGAAGTTTTGTAAATCTGTCGAATCTGTCTTCAGCTGGAGATGAAAAACACTAGAATTACTATCATTATTATTAGTAGTAGTAGTAGGAGTAGTAACAATTACCAATACAAATATTTACAGTAGCAATATTATTTATAGAGCACATTACAGAGTAGCAGCAATCAAGTAGTAACAAAAACAAAAATACAAACATAATAAAATGAGGAAAAAACTTACTTTGAGTTTAGAAGCATAATAACAAAAAGTGTCTCTATGTTTTCTGTAATTTATGGAGGAGATTTGCTGAAGGTCTGTATCTGCAGATCTAAGACCACATGCAGGAACATAAACAGTCAGTGAGGCATAAAGAGCTTTAAAAACTAGTATTAGTTTAAAATCCATCCTTAATGGCCATTACTGTACACTCTTAAAAATGATGGTTCTTCAAGGGTTCTTTAGTGAAGTGATTCCTCAGATTGATGGAGGGCTCTGCTATTGTGATGATGTCAAGCTTGCAGAACCCTTTTCGGTGCTATGTAGAACCATCTACAGCACATTCTCCATCAATCTGAAGAACAGTTTCACCATGCAAAGATCTAATTATACATGCAAATGGTTCTTTGAGTGTTGTAATTTACTACAGGACACTACACAAGCGTTATCATAATTATTATTATACAGAGGATAAATTATCATCAGTAGTAGTTAGTGTTAATATACAGGACTACAAAGATCTTTTATGTAAGAGATTGAAAATTACCCAGAATCCTCACCAGCTAACTCTAATCTCAGCTGTGTGAGTCAGTGAGTCTCTCTTTCCCTTCATTCCAGCTTCCACTCTTTTCAGGAGACTCACTTTCAGCTCCTCAAAGAATCTGCAGACACACCTCCAAAGTTCAGTCTTAGAAGCTGGTTGATCATTTTCTGAAGTAATCAAACACATTCAGTGGTGTTGAGGTCTGGACTCTGGGGTGGTCTGGACTCTGGGGTGGTCAGTCCATCGTTCAGCTTCTTTGTGTGATGTGTCCGTCTCCTTTTCTCAGTGAGGTTCTTCTTGATCAGCTACACATCCTTTCAGACCCACAGCGCTGAGTCGTCTTCTCACAGTGGAAGGATGGACAGAAACACCTGTGGATGTTTTCAGATCTGAAGCAGCTTGATTTTCTCCTCTCTCTCAGAGATGAAAGCTTTAAGTGCTGTTTATCTGATGGGGGCAGTTTTGGGGTCTAACAGGTCTCCCAGGTGGTTGTTAGGAGACATATTTTTTCAGGATTTTTTTTTATCAGGTTTTTAACTCCAGTTTTGGAAACTTTTTTCACTTATCGTCCTTAATAACTTTAATTTAAGGTCTGTTTTGAGTGGAAATTGAATAAATGAAGTGTCTCTGGTTTTTGCACAGCACAGTATGTAATATCATAATGTCCTACAGTATATAGTATAATGTCCTACAGTATATAGTATGATGGTAAAGGGAGTGTGAGCTTGTTGGACAGGCAGGAAGAGGCTGGGCATGTGGTGCCAGACACGGCCGAGTACAGAGCTGTAAAACTCTAATCCACACAGGAGGAACACAGTGACTGTTATAAAGTGCTGTATTCACTCCTGTGATAGTCTGTGTTTGATTACTGAACAGGTGCTGAACTCACTCCTCTGGTGTTGTGCTTAAACTTACACAACTCCACATTGTCTGGTCTGATTTTGTGATTCGTGCTTGTATACAGCTTTTTGATCAGATGCACGGTTTCCGTGTAGCAATGGAATTTTGTGGAATTTTTTCCCATAGAGAATGAATGGGGTGAAAAAATGCATGTCAATCTACAGTACTTCTGCCTTACCGAAAGACACCGTTTCGCATACACTATCTCAGGGCAGGCCCCCCAGCACGAATTCACTGTTGTTCTGACCCGCACTCATCCGTTTGTCTTTTTTTTCCATCACTCGTTTCTCCCATAGACTCCCATTCATTTTCGCAACAACACAAACTCTATTACTTCTTTGCCCGACAGCCACCAAACTACATGTCCTCACTCAGGGCAGGTCCTCAAGCTCTAATCCACAACCATACTGACCCGCACTCCTCTATGTGTCGTTTTTTCATCCCTTGTTCCTCCCAAAGAGTCCCATTCATTTTCAACAACACGTAGCTACCACTTAGCAACTCCCTATGAATGACTTAAGAAACACCTCATATATCATTGCAAC